TATCTCGCATATATTGCGTGTATTTTTTATACTATAAACTTTTTACATTTTAGAAAAAGTACACGCAATATTCATAACAAAGCATATTTATATGTTTATATGTAAAGACAGCAATCGAAAACAATTAAAACATATTAATTTAAGACTATATAATTTTTCTAATGGTTAAATCAATATCAGAAATCTATATTAAAATTATAGAACGTGAATAAAAACATCAAGCATTTAAGAACATTTCATCCATTTTCTACCTTTCACATTCGATTCTAATGCTCAATTTTCACATATAAAAAACATTTTCTATTGATTTAAATTCGTTGTCAAAAATAAGTGAATGTCAGATTAGTGCGGATGATTAATATCAATACGAAAATGGTCTCATGTATGCCCAACACGCCATTACAAATTCGTGCAGATGTAGCGTGATTTTCCAGATTTGATTATGATTTATTATTATAAAAGTTTATAAACATCGAATATTATAAAAATATATTCTATTTAAATAGTTTTTTTTTATTATAAAAACCTTAGATTAAGATGCAAAACAACATCAAATTTCCTATTTATTATTGATAAAATGTTAAAAAGGGGACTGAAAATTTGTAAGATTTGTAGGAATTTCCTATAAGATTATCCTGTAAGAAATTCCTATAAAAGTATAAAAAAAATTTAATAGAAATATTCCAGGTTTACGTGAAAATTATAAAAGAAATCCATAAATAAAAGCCATAATTTGTATCTAGAACGTTTCTAGTAAAAGAATTTCTAGATTATCATTATGTAAAATATATAATATACCTGATTACTTAATTTATAAATTGATAGCTCTACAATTTAGTATTAAAAGAGGGGGGAAAATTCTTTAGAAATTTCCTAGTTTACGAAAATTGTCAATAATTGTGGTAATTGTTGGAGTGCTTAAAAATCAATAAGCGGATAGATACATATAATTAATTAATGGTAATTTTTACAAGCCGATCACCTGGCACCTTTCGTGACTTAAGCTCACTTGTCATTAAGGTTATAAATATTTTAGATTAAACGAAATCGCATCGATTGATACAATACCTCGTTAAGTTTCGTAAATAATATATTTATAATGATAAAATTATATCCGTTTATTTCGAAATTAAGTACTAACTTCTGTATTTTAAATAAATTTAAATATCTTATCCGTAAACAGATTTATAATTAGAAATGTCCACGTGATTTATTAAATTTTCACTTCGGTAACGGATTTAAACTTGTTTGTAGTATCATATAAGGGGCCTTTTGGATTTATAAAATAATACATTTATAAACGTAAGGCCCTAAACTAACTTCGTATCGTGAGGGCCTCAGATGTAGCTTTTATTGTGTAGATTTGACAGTGGTCATTGATAAAATTTATGATGCGTCGCGAAGCTTTATATCTTATCATATATGTTTTTTCGATATGTTTAGAATCTATTTAAAGAAAAAATATATATTTATAAAATTTAAATCTTAAAAACTGAATTTCACGGAAAGAAATAAAGAAAATATAGAAAAAATAGATTTATTTTCTAGAAAATGGGAGTAAGTATTAAGTCTGAAGTGTTATTTTAAACTAATTATTCATTAATGTATCTATAGTTTGTTATTAAGAAAATCTATTTTAAAAAAATTAAAATTTTTAAATATAAAAATGAAAAAATAATAAAGAAATTAGCATAAAAATATAAAATATATTTTAAATAAATTCATTTTTATTAATTATTTATAAATAATATAACTAATAATCTTATTATTTAGTATATAAGTGCTTCTTAATTGTGAACATATACTGTAGTTATCAAGATAATTGGAATTAAAATGTTAATGTACGCTACTAATAGTGTTAAAAGTTGCTGTTTACCAAAATTAGAGTAAGTCTTGTCAAATCTAATTCTACGCTTATAAAAATATACTGTTATGAAAGGAATGTAGTCTACCTGACCCAATTCTTTTCTTATATACAAACACAATCCACCTGAAGCTACCCAAAGAGGAAGCTTTTTAAGCTGAAACATTAATAATATAAGAATTATCGTCTTCGGGTAGTTCTGAATAATAATAATAATTTGATAACAATCAACTTTCTGTAATACCAATTATATTGTATAATTTATTTATAAACGTAAAAATAAAACATAGTTTTATCGATAAAAGTCAAGGACTAATTATGTTTAAACGTTGTAGACAATTGCAAAAAGAAATAAAATGGTATAAAATCTCTTTGAAACACGCAGAGAATTAAAAAAGCAAACGTAAAACGACCTTTTACTGTAGGCTACGACTTCAAAATGTCTTTTAAAAAACAGAAAAAAAAAACAGGACACTGTCGTATGCCAGCGGTGATAATTTAAAAATTTTAACATAAACACAGGCAGTCCTCGAAGAATTTTAAGAAATTTTATTAATTATTACCGCCGGCAGAAGACATTTTAATACATGTTTTAACTTAGGTCATAGTCTACAATAAAAGATCGATTTACGTGTGTTTTTAGGGAGTTTCCGCACGTTAGAAAAGAACTTTTCTACGAATTTCTTTTCCTTTATTTTATGATTTTCTATTATGTTAACAATAATAAAGTTTTAGTTTTTCTTCAATTTATACGACTCGTACAATTTTTAGTTCACCTCTCAACAACGGTCGTCTTCTACGTTTCCTTCAGTGGCCGTTGTTCACAGGTTTGATTAATTGGATTCATATTAAAAAAGATTTAACGTTAACAAATTTTTCTTTAATAAAAACTTAGTGATTATTACCTAATAGTCCCTTAAAAGAATTCATTGTCAGCTTTTTTCTGGCTCAATTCAAGCTCTGAATGATGCGGTTGGAACCTTATCAGAGCTGTAGAACATACCCATAAGAGCATAAAGTCAAAGGAAACGAGCTCAGTTGCATATTATTCCCTTCACTATTGAGATTAGATAATTTAAAAATTAAAAATCTAGAAAACAAATTGAATTTTCAGTTGAGTTGAACTCAAAATTACACAAAACCTTTTCCCACAATATTACTACTTTATCAAATAAATGTCTGCAATATCCTTAATTTCGAAATTTTAACTCCTCTTTTATAATTGAAAGAATAATTTTCACTTCGGAAAATGAAATAATATTAATTTATTACCATTTAAATTACTAATATAAGTACTTAACTAACAATGCAACCATTCATTCCCCACTTTTAAACTTAATTTCATTCTCCAATTTTTTAATTCTTACTATTTAAAAGGTTAAAACGTTGAATATTACAGAAGCAACATTAAGAAGATGGAGTAGAATATCTGTCATTAATATTTTACAAAATTCAGAAGATTATTTAAAAATGGTCTGGTTTGATGGGATATGGCAGCGTAACACGTGGGCGATTTGTCAAGGGGGATTCCTGTAATGACTTTCTATGGGAAAGTGGCTCCTATTTATGTGTTACACATGTCAAGAAAACTTCACATGGCTGGACTGACCGTGTGATGTTTTTTTGCTTGGGTTGTAACTTTTAATTCTGAATGAAAAATGTTATAAATAAATATTTGATTACATTTAACAGTATTTTTATATATTTTATACAGTATAAAAATAAATAAAATGCATTCTTGAAACTCACGATAGCCTGTATTAGGTGGTTGGCTAATGACAATGAGTAAGGAAAATTTTTCATTGTTGGGATATAAAAAGTAAGATGTACAGTACCTGTTGCTTGTTTCTACTTTTAATTTTTATACTGTGGTATTAATTAAATAAAAATACATGTAATAGATCTAACATATATCTTGGGAGGGTGGACAATTTTCAAAAAATATTTGGGGATATATTCCCTCTATCTCTTATTAATCTATGCTCGTTATTGTTGGCTTCATTTTATAGAATTTTTGATAATTAATATAAATCTTACAAGTGATGCTCCTATTGTATAAGCAAAAATAAGACATTGTTCTTGAAACTACCGTTTGTTATATTGATTATTTCCTATAGAAAACGGCATAAACTAGTCTTTGCTACGTATATTTTTTTTTTACTAGCATAAAATTAATGAAATACTTTCTTAGTGATTAATTGAAAGGACTAAATGACTTGTCAAGGAAAACCTTATTACTAACTGCCCAGGAATTTTCGTTAGGATATTAATATACTAATAAAATGTCTTAATGTAATCATCGAAAGACGTTGTGACGAATATGCTTGCAGTAAGTAATTCAATCGTATATAAATCTGCAGATATTTAACAAGCACTTCCTGTTTTTAGATATTTTAAAGCGCATTTATTTCCGTGTTAAGATAAAAATCTTTTAAACATTCGTATCATATATCTCTAATTTAAAAAAAATATATATATATAAGTTCATATACTATATTATATAANTGATAAATTAATATAAAAATGCAATAGAATGATCCGCTATGTTACGTATGAAAATTAAGAGTATTTTACGAAAAATAATGTTCCTAGGATATCATTTATTATTATTATTTTTTTTTTCCAACATTTAAATTCGGCAAATAATCTATGTGAAAAGTGCTATACGAATTTAACATATTAAATAATCTAATTTAGTTTTATTTAAATAAATATAAATAAAAATTATAAGCAAAAAAATTAAATGTAACGCATATTTCCATATGTGAGTGATTTAAACTGTTTTGTAATGTTATGTAATGTTATTTTTGAATATTTTTATTTCTTTGGTGATTACAGGGAATTCCCTATGTTAGCGGGTAATTTACACGGTTACAAATGCTATAATAAAGTGTTATGGCAATCGTCCTGAATCATGTAGGTTTATTTATTTACAGTTTAGCAACAATAAAGTTAATGAACTTTAATTATATACAACAAATACATTTAAGTTACTCGAAATATAATGTAATTTGGACGTTAAATAGGGAATTTTTTAAAAAATTTCAACGTATTTTACTTTGATGAATTATAAACTAATGTTCTTTATTTAATCGTTTAAAAAGAAAATTAATTTTTCTCTCAATGACAATAATACCTACCCAAAATTTTCTGTCGAACTAGTGGGAAATGAAGTCCAAGCAGACATAGAAGGTGTTTCTCCCACAGCCGATCTTCCATTCCAGCTACATTCATTACCCGGATTGATGAGAGGGATATGAGGTAAAAAATCGGTAGGGGCAGGCGTGGCTGTAGCAGTAGCCGGTCCTCCCAAAATATTAAACACCTGAAAGTATCTAGAAAGATGAGTCATTTTTGTATTTGCCTTTTTTTTTATCTGCACGATACTTCTTTCATCACCTGAGTCGTCAATGTGGAAGAATCGGAAGCGATATTGGTATGAGCATTTTGAGTCATGGGCGATTGATGAAAAGCTGCGGCTTGACTATTTAAGTTCTGATGACTCCAAATATAGCTATTCGGCTCTAAAGAAACATTAAAACGATTTAAGGAAACAGAAAATTAAGAGACCATCGAGAATAAATGTTAAAATTACCATGATGATGAAGAGGTGTGGACTCGGCAACTAGGTGGCTTGCCGTTGTACCCGAATAGGCCATACTCAGTGGCAGACTACTCGCAGCGGGACTACCGATTTGTTTCCTCCAACGAGCCCTGCGATTGCTGAACCAAACCTATATATCAAACAAATTACCGTGATGTACAAGCGTCCACGGATCGCATTAAAGAAGGGAGTTAATGGGTTTCTCTTCTCACCGACCTGTACTCTTGCTTCGGTTAATTTAGTTTTCTGAGCTAGTTCTTCGCGTGTATACACGTCAGGATATTGAGTCCTCTCGAAAGCCCTTTCTAATTGATCCAGTTGTTCGGCCGTGAACGTAGTTCGAGATCTTCTCTGTTTTCTTTTCAAGGTCAAACCGGGTTCGGAATCACAATCAGAATCTTCAGAACTAATTCTTCCTGTTAAAAAAAAATACCCAAAATATCATTTATTAAATACAGTATCATAATGTTTTTTTAAAAATATATACTGTCTTTAAAATTATATCGTAATAAATATACAACTATTAATAATATACTGCCCAGTCGTTTTGAAATAACTGTGGTTAATGTTTTAAATTTTGCAATATTTTTGTTTTAAATACAGTACCGAAGATGATTAATCATACAGAAAAGTAACATGATAGTAAAACTTTAAAAAATCAATTGTCATGATGTGCTTAATTTATTTGCATTGGTGTTTAATATATTGAAGAGTTTTTAACAAAATTCATACTGAAGAAGGATATTTTAGAAGTAAAATTAGTTTAAAGAATATAAATTATTATAATTTTAAACGATTATTATGTTATTAAACGATGATATTTTTTAAATATCGTAAAAAATTTCATAAAAATTAATTATGTTTATTCTTATTATATTATATTATTATTTTTTAATTTTAAAATCCTTGTAGGCTCGGCCACGGTTTGCTAGAAACAAAAATAAAAAGTTTTTTTTCTTTATTAAATTTATATATAATTTTTTTTTAATTAATAGTTTGCTACTTGGTGCTACCGTGGGAAATGTTATGTTAAAGTTATAAGCAGTGTTTTACCTTCCAAATTGTCCACCGTAGGGGAATGCCTTGACGTCCATACTTGAAGAATGAGTGGGTGGCACGTGATTGAACGATGATGCCACAAAGGTATCGCCCGTACACCTAAATAAATACGTTTTAAGATGTGAGAAACTACACAACACGACCTTCACAAATGCGGTTTATCTAGTTGCTTGGGGAGAATCATCCGACGGCTTCCTACCGCTGGGAGTTAAAACAAATGATAGTACCGGTTTCTGACAAATGAGATCTTTAACACGGGTTTTCAATTTGTTTCTAATTTATAATTTGTTTATATCGGATAATAAATCTGATCGAGCGGGCGTAATGGACTCCTTAACAGATTTTTCAATAAAGTTTAATGTGGCTTCACCTAGATGGCGTTGTTTTAACTCCTACGAATAACTTTCGCTATCTAAATTCAATTTATATTTATAACTTTCGCTTTATAAATTATTATTATTTTTTTTTTATATTAAAATTTCAAACAAAGNTAATTTTCATTTTGAAAAGCTATTTTAAAAGTTAAGTTGTTGAAATTTTATAAATATTTTGTAGGAAAAAAAGGGAAGAAAATTAAGGATCCGTGGGTGGCCGAGACTTTTCACTTTAGCCATAACAATATTTCAACACGTACTGCATGAGGTCAAGTGAATGCCGTGAATGGCATGAAAGGTACCGAAATCCCACTGAATACAAACAGTCCCGCTCACACCTCATCCTTAGCCATTCATGCGAGTTCTTGTTGATCGTCTTTGAATGGTGCGTGATGGCGACGCCTCGACAATAGGGGGTGGTCTGTAACGTTGATTGTGTCGACTTCTCCAGCTTTTATTATTGCTCAAAACTCTGCAGATATCGCCTTTCGTATCGAATTTATATTTTATATAATAGTCGACTTTAAGAATCTTTCAAATTAAAAAAATAATAATAAAATTTGATAAAAGTATCTTGGATTTTCTGACAATTTAGCTTGATAATAGTTATTAATAAATCAACAGAAATAACGAAATTCTTTATTTGTTAATTAGAAAATTAAGGAACAAACTTACAATTTTCCGTGTTTTTTTTCGCTCTTACAAGATCTCGGTTATTCCACTTTAAAAAGTACATTTCTTTTTTTACGACGAGATTAAAAAGTATTGCATTTATAAGCTGTTTTTTATGGATTTCGAAGAATTATCGGCCATGTCAGAAACTTTCAACAAAAGCTTAAAATATTAATATGAAACACAACAGACAGGTGTCGGGATTTTGTGTTTTTAAAAGAAGCTGAAGCAAGATCGGTTGCAGACTAGAAACAGGGGAAGGGAAAGTTAAATTTACCAGAACGTAGCTATTGAAGATGGAAACAGTATTGACGAATTCGCTATCCTTCAGTGACAATCAGTAGACAGCCGATGTACAATGTGCAGGCACAGGACAGATGGGTGTAAGGCCTTTACTATGGCTTGCACGCCGATTTGAATCGGCGAACGCTTCTGTTATAATGCTAGGTACGAGGTTCCCATGTGATCTACTATACTACCAGTTTTCCTAACCACCTGGGCATAATGTCCGTGTGACGATGCACATTTTCTAACAAAATTTGGTGAAGCATCTATGTCCAACTGGTTTAGTCGCACTTGTGTGTTGTCATAGCATTGTTTGCTTAACTGAGAGGATGAATTTCACACTCTTTGCTATCATCGATAAAAGTACCGTGTTAACTCGCGAGTTTCTTATCACAATATAAATATACCTTCCATGTTTAATGGATCTATCAGTACATGCTCCATTTTCTTTCAGCAAATCATATTTTTTAGCTGTAACTAAATCTGTACGCTTCGAATTTCCGTATCACGCAGTTATTGACTTAATTTTAAGATTTTTCTTGCGTGTTTAATGCTTATATATATGTATTCGAGTGACATATTTTACTTAAACAGAACTTATTCTAATTATTGCTATTTTTGGATTTTTATACAATCGGAACATTAAAAAATAATCATAAGGATGTGTCCATTACTATTTTAAGAGAGTTGTTGAAAGGACTATTAATAGAATCAAATTATTAAAAAGAGAAAATGGCGATATTTTTAAATCAAAGTTTTGTTCGGTGTCGTCCAACATTTTTAAAATCTTGAATTGCTGCCAAATATCTTTCTGTTTTTGAATTTTTGATGGAACAACCCATTGACACGAATCTTTAAAAATAATTTCTAAGATTTATGTTTGTTATTTTCTTTTCTTTCTCTCTAGGTTATTCGTAGCTTATTTAACTATTTTATTCTTTTTTAAACTAGAAAATTCTTAAAGAATATATAAAACATTACAATTTCTATAATGAATTTACTCATTAATCGCTAGTTAAGTTCAATTTAATAATATATAAATATCATTTTTTTTTACATTTAAATCAACCATAAGAGACTATGTTTCTTATTTTATAATTTGAAACTAAGTCGTTCATTTTAGAATATATCGATTTAAAATTTTAAAATCGATATTCTAAAATTAAATTTCAAAGAAAAGAATGATGACCTTAGCGAAACTTTTATAAATGCAGCCAAATTTTCTCTTTGGATAATCAAACAGAAGCCTCCGAAACCTCAAAAACTATGACTAAAATAAATTAAACTCAAATTTAACTTATTTTTAAAATCCTTGTACGCGAATTTAATGTTTATTTACTATTAGTTACGCTTAAGCAACGTGTTTGCTTCTTTTCTCAATCGTTATTCAAAAGTCAAGCCTTCTGGTTGACGGAAATAAATTTGAAAAGTTTTGTCAACTCAAAGCGTAGGTTAAAAAAGGTTGTACGATACACAACACACAAAACTAACAAAGAAAAGAATCAAAATGTCAACTGAAGGTGACTGCTTTAAACTTTCAAATTTGTAGAGCACGTGCCGCTGTTAGATCCTTATCGATTCTAATCAGCCGGATAATGTTGGAAATGCTCTCCGCTTTAGATAAATTGTACGGGAGAATATTGGGTTTAAAAATTATATTTTTTAACTGGATTTTATCTGAATTTAATCTCTACTCACCTCCTAGAATGCCATCGATGCTATGATCAGCTTTTTTATTTTCGTTAGTTTCATAGTTTCCAGTTCTCTGGCAGCTTCTGCTTGTCGATCGCAAAACTCTACTTATAGAACTAACACTCGGTGCTGTGTTTTTGTCACATATATTGTCCTAGAATATATTAAACGTTATATTAAATCTACGTAGACTTATTACATTTGTTTCCATTTTTTTTTTCAATACCTTTATCAATCGATCGCGAATTTCCCAACTGAATATTCCAGGATTATCTCTCTTGTATTCTTCGATTTTCTTTTCTACTTCTGGAGTTGCAACTCGAGGTTTACTTCCTCCAATTACTCCCGGTCTTATGCTACCTGTTTCCTGCAATAATAATTATTAAACATGAAGAAATAATTTCGTTATCTTTTTCTAAATTTCTAAGTTGTTTTTAAAATTTTCTTTGTTACGAACAGCTTTGAATCCTGTATATGTTTTAAGTTAAGTAAAATCTGTATTTTATTTGCGTCATCTTTATTTTTTTTTTTCATCTTTGAACATAAACGAATGAAGTGGAGAAAGGAGAAATGATTCGAATCGGTTACTTTGAAAACGGATCAACTGCATCATTTGATTTAGAGACATTTAGTACAGGATTAATCCGAATAATGGCCAAATTAATCGAATGTAGTTGAAGTTAAGTTATTGATGGACTGACAATCAACGAACCGAAACTGAATCGTGATAATCTCTAGCAAAATGTTAAGAAGATTTGATTGATTCGAAGGGGAATAATTAGTTTTCTCAGTCAAGCTGTTAGAAAATTACTCACTTTTCTAATTGGAATAAATTAGCCGATAGTTAATGTTAATACTTTTTATCTTTAAAGCAATTTTAAAGCAATTATACTCCTTTTTATCGGTCTTTTTAGCTAAATAACGTTATTTAGACTTAATTTCACTACGGTATTTGTAAATGTACCTAATGTTGATGAAACTGGCTTCATCCTTACATGATGGATGTAGGATTATCTTCGATACCTGACGGATACTTATATCTAAAATTCGATTTACGCGTATATTGGTTGGTTCGAAACTCAAATATATTGACGTATCGAGTATGACAATATGGACAGATATCATCCTGGGAATATCAAAAAAATATATATATTTTGAAACTTTTAAATAAAAAATTTTGGCAGTTTTTCATACTTATGGCTATGCTTATTACGCTACGTCGGTTTAACTTTAAAATAAAACCTGGCCTATAGCTTAAGAAGCTAGAGTAAAATAAATTAAATATATTATTGTAAATGGGTATTACAGTATTAATAAAGTCTATATACGCTTTAGGCTGAATTATTTAATTAAAATATTAAGCATCTCCTCTTAATTTTTTGTCTACAGTTTTTATATCAATTCAGTTAATTAAATCTAGAAAAACTATATATTATTTCAAATTAAGTTTCAAGTTCTGACTGATCAGTGAAATAATCGGAAAGATTTAAATAGATTAATATATAATTTACTAGATATTTTGCATTATTTTTCAATATATTATATATTTAAAAGGTTATACATAAATAAAACAATAAGCTTCCACTAATGTAGGCATAGTAATATATTGGTTACATTTAAATTAAAAAAATATATATACATATATATATATATGCCTATACTTTATTATTCATAATCTTATAACTAGGAAAATAAGGCCTACTAAAGGATTTTAATGTTTGCAAATGCTTGATACATTAACATACTTTTAAATTACAAGTCTAATAATAAATAAGCTTACTGTTATTCATTTGAAAACACTATCAAAGATCTTTGATAATGTTTTCAAGTGAATCGTTAATTTAATATTTAATATTTAAGTTATTGTTCAAAATATAAGTTTTTGAATAGATTGAACGCATGAACACTTTAACAATGTAAGCATATTTATCACGGTATATAAATTTAATGTAAGCATCTATTAAGCGCACAATAGCTGTTGTCTCATTTATTCTAAAGATGTTTACGAAAGTACGAAAAGCAGAATTTTCTACGTTTTGACGTAATTTAATTTAAATAACGAAGAAGAAACATATAAATTCATTTTATCTATCAGTTTTTAATGTCTTAATTTCTATTGAACATTGTAATAATAAAACTCTTACTTGTTAGTTTTAAAAAGCTAAATCTTCAATCGAACTTATTAAGAATGATCAATATGTCATTTGATATACTTTATTTATATTTAATAGTGAATAACTCTTTTAAATTGCTGAAAGCGTACAAATTATTACGATACGAGTAAATTTGAAGCCATTGAAATCAATGGATCATAAATATTGATAGTTGTGAAAGTCTTCTGCAACCCGATGATAGAAAATTGATTCGTGATAAATATAAAATATTTACAAATTTTGTCTCTTGTTAATATTCTTACATCCGATTTGATTATTCTATGCCATTAGGATGAATTTATCTTCCTAATTATAAGATCCTGTATCATTTAGAAGATAATTTATATGCAATTGCAGGCGTGTAAGTTAAATAAATTTAAATGCTTTCTAATCGATTACAGAAATGATAAATTCGTTTAGTTTTATATAAAAATATTGTAAAACTCGGGAGTAATTTTATACGATTGTTCTAACTATTTTCATCTTTAAATAATGTTAGATTTTTTCCCTTCACGTGTTAATAATGGAATTCTTAATTCTTCGCAGAATGAAAGTTATTTATAGTTTTACAGTGAAATTACATGCGATAAATATGAAAATGGTTAAAATTTGTGTTTACCGGAAAATAAAACGCTTCTTAGATATTGGCACCTAAGTGTGAGTACGGTAATTAGTATGCTACTAATAAAGTACAGTAGCAGTAGTAATTGTAAGAGACACTCACCTGATATCGATTAAGAATTTTGGAGACACATCCGTGAGACACACGCAACTGGCGACTAATAACACAAGGCCTTATCCCAGCAGCTGCCATTTCAACAATTTTAAGTCTGATATGATTTGGAAGAGGCCGTCCATTTATGAATACACCACCCAATTGATTGACTCGACCCTGGCCTGTTCAAAATACAAATATTAACTGATATTAATAGCAATCACAATAAACATTAAGTTGTAAACTAAAAAAAAACTTCTAAAATTTAATTTATATACAGGAATAACTTGCACCAAACATTAAAAATGATGGATTCTTCATTGAATAATAGGCTTAAATTAGGCTTAAAGACTCGTGTAAAGAATCAACTTCTTATTGACTTGTGAATCCAATCGCTTTTCACACATGTGTGCAATAGGAATTTAGACTAATTGTTAAATAGATTTATTTAAAGAGAAGTGGGAATTCTAAATGAACTCTGTTTGAGTTCCTTTCAAGTAAATGAAATGCTAAACGTTTCCATCTGTTGATCGTGGGAATAGCGATATCCAGATCTTTGATGAAAGTTTTCAAAGGATTTTAATATCCTTCCCATTAAAAACTATGGTTTACTATAAAATACCCAAATTTTTTACATGTATAAATGCACAAATCTTAGTTTCTTTTACATTGAGATGAATGAATCAAAGATTGCACCATACTAAAAAAATCAATTTTTCTTTTTTTTGTTTGTTGAAGCAGTTTTTATAACTTGGTATCAGAAGGGATTTTTTACAGAAAAATTCTTTGCAAGATATCTCTTACCTTGAAAGGGATAACCTCCAAAAATTGGTCGAACGTTAGCCATTTTTTTTCATGACAAAAGTACCAGAAAGAGTCGAAAATGTATCTAGGATGGTTAGGGTCACCCTAGGATGGCCCATTAAGAGTGTGTGTAAAAGTCTCCACCCCTCCCGGTCCCCCGTTTCCCTCCATTGGTGGAAAACACGCTTGGTTAATATATATGCTCCTCCTTTGGTGCACTTTATCATCTTTGGATGTCACTGATTAGGTAGCAATTGTCCGAGTTGTGATTTATTGATATTGAATGTTACAAACAAAATATTATTCTTCTAGCAATTTTTTTTTATTTTGTAACGAATAGGTCAAGGTTAATAGTAAAAATATGAAAGTTTTGTGTAATATTTTAACATTTACTAATATTAAATGAAATGATTAAAACAGATTTAGGCCTATATATTTTATCATTTACGCTATTTGAAAGGTGTTACTGTATAATTTAAATTTGTTCTTATCCGTTAATAATACAACAATGTAATTGCTATAAATATATGATGAGAATTAATTTTTTGCAATGACATCATGGACAGTTTGCGTCATTTACATTGGGTTGCATCAATGGGTACTTTGGGCCGCATCATTTGGCACGTGTATCTGTCAAAACATAAGTTTTCTAACTTATGTTTTGAGTCAAAAGGTACATAACCTAAAAAAGCATCACCTTCCTAATATTATTAACTGGTGTTAAGTTCTGTAGATGTTTTAATATTTAAACAGTTATAGAGTCTATAATTACTCTGTAATTAATAAATATCACAAGCTTCATTTTGTAAACTACATTACTACAATTTAGTTTAATAAAATTAAACTTTCCGATTTAATCCTCATAATAGCAATTACATAACATTAGGCCTGATAAAAAAAAAACCTATTTAAAAGGCTTCTGTAATACAAAACTCGAGAGAAAAAATTGGCCTTAGGGATAAGCATTCGACTCATCATGCCTTTCTGGATTCTCTAGAATCTATTTAGTGTATATTAAATATTATTATTTCGAAAGAAAAAATGAAATTTCATTTATTTATTTTTTATGTATTTATATGACTAAAACATAGGAAAAACTTGAGCAAATATTCTTTGTTTACATTAGTATTTATCAATAATTTCACATGTAGCACAAATGTAATCTGTAAACATTACTCTAACACCGGAAATACACTCCTTTAAAATGGTATCCTTTCATTAGTAATAAGAATATTGGTAACTTTTTTGTAAATTTTACGATGTAGCAACTGTATATTTTGTGGTTTTCGTGAGTTTAGTTTTCTAGCTTTGTCATTAAAGAAAAAAAAATTCAATTTAATACAGTAAATCGATTTGAGGAGTTTCGATAGTAACTTACATAGTAAATTACATAGAACTTTTTTAATATAATGTTTGTATTAACAATAATTAGGAAATACAATACAAATTTTCACACAAGATTTGCACTGTTGGAAACACTACACTACACAATAGATAGTTTCCCATCAAATACGTAAAGAGTTCGAGTTCTAATTAATATTCAGAGAATGGATCATATTTAAAAATTATTTATTAAGTTATTTTAACAGTAGGATAAGTATTTACTGATGAAATAAGTGTATTTCCTAGATAAAAAAAAATAGAGGAAGTATAGTTATTCAACATAGGCTGTTTTAAAGGAAGTAACACCTTTGATGAATAAGATAGCAACTCAATTATATTTTTCTAGTAATGGAAGTAGTTTATTTTCCTCCCACTCAACAGACTGTAACGTTTCTTCTTTTTAACGTAAATGCCGAATCATATAAATTAAACGGTGTATCGATGTATCGTAAATATATTTTATGGTAAAGTACACCTACGCCTTGTATTAATAATAGTGACGTATCATATATCGATTGTTCTTTCAAGTTTTATCGGATAATCTTATACTTATTTATACTTATTTATACTTATTCAGTATAAATTATTATATATTTGGATTTGTATTATTTACAAATGAAAATATGTTATTCAAAAGTACATCTTAATAAAAAAAAATTATAAAAATACAATAAATTTTCGGAAAAAAAAATTTAACTCGATACATATTCCAATATTGATAACAAAGGAGCAGGAAAAAATGGCATTATTTAATTCTTCCGCATGTAAAAGTGGAGAAAACGTCTTAAACGATAAGAATCAACAGTTTGATACGCGGTTTACAGACGTACAGTGATTAAATTAAAGATATTTCATTTCGTTTGGAGGAAATACGCTTAATCTGTTCGGGCTGCTCCACCCTGGCTGTTGAAAGGAGATTTATCTCGCTGTTTTGCGGGTATCAATATTGCGATGGGTGGACAACACGGCTCTTGTTTGTCACTATCCACTCTTCAGATGGATCGACAAAGGAAGTCGATCATTAATCACGGTAAAAATTTTTCTCTCTCTAAAAATTTTTATAAATAACTTTACAATTAAATGAAATTCTTATAAATATAAATAGTAATTTAG